AAACTGAGAGAGTGGTGGGCACAGAGAAATACAAAGTACAGCAACAACTCAAAAGATAAAACTTTCCATTATGAGTAGAAAACAACTTCCCCTGGTCCAGGCAAGAAACCCTGGATAGGATTTAGAATGTAGAGGTAGTTGAAACATGAAGGATAGAAGTAGAATGACCAAATCTCATCTGCAACTGGACAGAGTGGAGCATGGATCAGAAAGTCACAGATATATTCAATTCTATGCTCTTGTACATGCTAGGATACTTTCTCTTGGCTTTGGGGAGGAAAAAACAGGGTTTGCTTTTTTTTTTTTAATGTAACTTTATTTGCATCCACAATATACCCTAAACAAATTCTAACTTCAGAAGCATCTGATTGATTCTTTTTTTAATTTTAAAAAAAATTTCTATTGTTGAAAGTATTACAGATGTCCCCTCTTCTTCCTCATTGATCCCTTCTAGCCTACCCCTGCCCCTTGCCCCAGGCCTTTACCACACTATTGTCTATGTCCATGGGTTATGCATAAATGCCTGCAAGTTCTTTGGTTAATCGCTTCCCATCCACCACCCAATCAGGAGCGAGTATGCAAATTAACCCAACCAAGATGGCAGTGGCCACAGAGCTGGAGCAAGCTGGAGGCTTGGGTTGCCCCTGGTGATGGAGGAAGCCAAGCTTCCTGCCCGCCCTGGCCAGCCCTGGCCTCCATTCAAGGCTAAAAAGTTTCAATTATAGAAGATAAATAAATCCCAGATACCTGCTTCCCTCCGAGGCACTGAAAAATAAAAGAAAAAAAGGAGGGGCTGGGAGCTTGGGTTGCGGGGGGCCGTGGCCAGCCTGCAACCAGCCATCAGCTCCTCACCCAGGCTGGCCAGGCACCTCAGGGGACCACCACCCTGAAGGGGCTGTGGCCAGCCTGCAAACAGCCATCAGCCCCTCACCCAGGCTGGCCACATACCCCCAGTGGGGACCCTCACCCCATGGGGGCGTGGCTGGCCTGCAAACCACCACAGGCCCCTTGCTCAGGCTGCCCCATACCCCAAGGGAACCTCCACCCTGATCGGGGACACCCTTCAGGGCAAATCAGCTAGCCCCCATCTGTGCACCAGGCCTCTATCTATACTAATAAAAGGGTAATATGCTAATTAGACTGGGAGACCTCCCAGGAGACCTTCCGGATGTTCTTCTGGACAAAGCCATGGTGGTGGGGCCAAGGTAGAGGCAGTTAGAGGCCAAGAGGGGAGGGCAGTTGTGGGTGATCAGGCTGGTGGGGGGCGGTGCCGTTGGGGGGAAGCAGACCAGCAGGGGGGCCGGTTGGGGGCAAGCAGGCCATCAGTGGGGGTCAGTTGGAGGTGATCAGCAGAAAGCACTTTGGACTGGGAGCTGGAAAACCAAACTCCTAATCTTAGCCCTGACACCAATGTGCTGTGTGACCTTGGGAGGAAGTATCTTCCCTTCTGTGGGCCTCAGTTTCACCATCTCTAGAATACAAATTGTAAAACTCAGTGAACTCTCTCGGACCTCTTTCTTTGCACTTGATGTACTTCCTTCTGTGACCCCTTCTCAACTTTCTCTCCCTACCTAACTCTTATTTACCCTGTAAAAATCAGTCCAGATATCACCTCCTATCTGAAGCCTTTCCAATCTGTATTTTGTACCTCTTTCTGTAATCCTTGCCGTCTAGTGCAATGATTATTATTTTTTCATGGGACTTTATGCTTGTCTGTCTCCTCCATGAAACTGAGCTTCTTGAGAGCAGAGACGGTCTTAACTGTCTCATCTATCTTTTATTCCTAGCACTCAACATAGAGCTTGGCACATGGTCAGCAAGCATATTAAATGAGTAAATGTTTATTGAATGAATGAATTAAAAATTAATAAATGGCTCTTAGGAATTTAGAAATGGAATAGATTACTATGAATAAAAGGGTAAGGAGATGAAACTTTTGGGGGAAAGCTTAGGATCTCCTTAGTATGGTTTTTGGGTATTGGAGGTACCTTTGCCAACTCCAGGGTTTGGAGAAACATGGGGCCTGTTTTGTATCTTGATCTGAGGGGGGAAAAAATGATTTTTGGTCTCTGTTTCTTTCACAGGAAGCATAGTGAGTGTGGGAGATCCTAAGAAGAAATATACACGGTTTGAGAAGATTGGACAAGGGTTAGTAGGGGCATTTTCTTTACCTGGAAAAGTGACTTGAAATTGTGTGTACTGGTGCATGTGATTTTGCTTTTGTTTTGCCTCTCAGAAACCTTGTTCTTCTTTCTCCACTTCACCCCTCACCCATTTGAAGGTGTTATGTTAGGCTGACTTCAGGTTTGGCAGAATTATGCTTAATAGGAGAGATGTGCCATTAGCCAACCATGTTGCTAAAAATACCCCTGCAGTGAGAATTGAAAAACCATTTATTTTCTTAGTATAAAACATGCTTCCCAAATAACAGCTCTGCTTTTTCAGACTAACCCTGTTTACTGGTGCTTAGCTCTACCAGCACTAATATGAAATGGAAGACTCAATTGCAGACCCTTCTGTTCAATTGCAGGACCTGTTTTTCTAGGTGGATAGACTTCTCCTCTCTGGTTCCTTCTCTGCATCTTGTATGCTACCCTCAGTGTACTGAGCTCAGCAAATCTTAATTAAGTCCTGTTATGTACTAGGCAATGGGAATACAGCTATGAATCAGACACAGTCTCAGCTTTCAAAGACCTCATGTCTACAGGAAATAGTCAAACAAAGAATTAGAATACAGTTGACCTTTGGACAATACCGGTTTGAGCTGCACGGGTCCATTTATGTACAAGTTTTTCATTAAATACTGTAAACGTATTTTCTCTTCCTTATGATTTTCTTTTTTTAAGTGTATATATATACTGATTTCAGAGAGGAAGAGAGAGGAAGAGAGGGAGAGAGAGATAGAAGCATCAATGATGAGAGAGTGTCATTGATTTTCTGCCTCCTGCGTGCCCCACACTGGGGATTGAGCCTGCAACCACTGGCTCAACCACTGAACCATGGGGGCCGGGCTGCTTTTCTTAACATTTTACTTTCTCTAGCTTACTTTATTGTAAGAATACAGTATATAACACATATAATGGGCAAAATATGTGTTAATTGACTATGTTATTAGTAAGGCTTCCGGTCAGCAGTAGGCTTTTAGTAGTTAAGTTTTTGGGGAATCAAAAGTTGTACATAGATTTCTGGCTACGCAGGAGGTCAGTGCCCCTGTGTTGTTCAAGGGTCACCCCTATACTGTGATTTCTTAAAAAGCATTTGGCCATTATTTTGAACAAAAGAAGCCAGACATAAAAGAACAGAAACTCTATGATTTTATTTATATAAATATAAGTTCAAGAACAGGCAAAACTAATATATGCTAATAGAAGCCAGAGAAATTGTTGCGTCTGAGAGGGGAATGCTGATTGGGAAGGGGCATCAAGGAACCTTCAGGGGTGATGTTGGTGGTGCACACGTGTGTATACCTATTGAAAAATCATCAAGTTGTTCACTTAAGATTTGTGCCAATTACTTTAGGTAAGTTATATCTCTATATGAAAAAGAAAAATAATGAGATTTTTATAGACTTACCGAAATAGCTAAAATTAAAAAGAAACAATAAAAAAAATTACCTGGCTTATGGAAAGCTCTCATCTCAGTGTTGGTTGAATGAAAGCATTATTGCTAATGAAGTCATTGAAATTTTCTGTTTTAGTTTTTTCCTTATGATTCCAAAACCTCCTGGAAATAAAATAAAGTATTGTGTGATATACTGATGTTTTAATTATACAGCATTCTACAGCTTACATCAGTTATTTGCCTCTATTGTTTAATCCTTAAAACAACCCTGGACTTGCGTGAATCTTATTTTTTTCCTGGTGGAGTGCTTTTTCTACTAGACATGCTTTCGTGAGTCTGAACTGATATAAGGTAGTTAACATCTTGAGAAGAAAGTAAGAGTAATCTGGTATGGCATTTCCTTCAGCTAATTACATTGAGGTACTGAGAATGTAGCAGAATGTACAGACAAGTGTGGGCAAGTTGGGTCCCATCTCTGGAGTTCAGTTTCTTCATCCATAAATTTAAGGGAGAGCAATTGTAGATTCTGTGCCTTTCACGTCCCGAATTTATGATTTTTAAAAAAATTCAGATGTGTGAAGCCCATAAATAGGCAACATCTACAAAATGTGCTTTCCCTGCTTATTTGACAGGTCTGTTAGTGTAAGGGAGGAATGAAATATTTATTAATCACCTGTGCTGATGATTTCACATGCCATGATTTTAAAAAAACAAACAAATGCCACATAATTATGATGAATTAGTGCTATTATAATTTTTGCTTGTTCTTCCCTTTAAGACCTGAGGATTTTTTTGGCCCCAGAATTCATATCTAAACATATGTCTATTCAAGGTAGAAACAATCAAGTACTAACCAGTGGGCCTGAGTTGCTTTCTAGACTTCTGAAATCATAGAGATGTCCACCCCCAAGGCCTTTTAAGAATGGTTCATCTGGTAGGATGGGGGAGGATGGGCACAGGAAGTTAGACACCAGCTTTATGACAGAAGATGGCTAGAGGCAGGATGATGAGTCAGTCTGAAATAACTGCCAATGCAAATAATCCAGTCCTTATTTGATAGCCCATATCTTTATGATCACAATTTTTTTGGCATATAGCTAGGGTCTCAACTAAAGAGTGGTGGTTAGGAAGCTGGTGACCATAATTTCTAACTATAAGGCAAACTTACAAGTGACTGTTCTCCCTGAATTGTCCTGACTTCCCTGTGAAGCATAATCTCAGGGCTTGCTAAAATGCTTTTTTTTTGGGGGGGGGGGGCAATACATGGAATTAAATTTCTTATCTGACATATGACATGTAAAGTTACAAATATTGCTGCATATCATCTCCTACAAATATACAGGGTTCATAGTTATAGGCATAAAATGAGGTTTTTAGTTATTTTGGGTGGACATGATTACTTTTCTAGCATTATTCCTAGTACTTCTCTCCCTCCCACTCTCTTTTCTCTTTGTGTGTGTGTGTGTGTGTGTGTGTGTGTGTGCCCGTGCGCCTATGTGCACATGTATAGTGAGGATACCTTGGGGCTGGGGTAGAAATATCAGATTTTCTGGGAGCATATGTATTTGAAAAGCATATTTAATATTTCATGTTTGAAAAGAATGAAAAATACAAATCTGTTTTATAATGAAATTCACATATCCTCTTGAAAGCATAAATAAATAATTGATTTAAATTCTCTTATACACTCTTATACCCTTACCTTCACTTTGCAAATGAGGAAAGTGAAGCTTAGAGAATAACTTGCTCAGGATTGTATATCTAGTAGATACTAGGCAGACGTTCCAGATTGGAACTCAGATCTTTTGGCCACTAGAGCCTGTATGCTCTTTGCTACTACATACTGCCCCTCAAATCTGAGAAGGTGGGGGTGGGCAGTGGGGAAGATTATTTTTGCTGCTGTTATAAACCCTGTATTGCCAAATTGTGTGTAGATTTGCATTTGACAAGTATCACCTCACTTAATACCTATGTTTTTCCTCTCTCTCTCTCCCCGACCTGTTGTTCAGTGCTTCAGGCACTGTGTACACAGCAATGGATGTGGCCACAGGACAGGAGGTGAGTGTCTACAACCAACTATTGCTCCTTCAGCTCTACTGGGTTTTTTTTTCTTTTTTGGTTAAATTTTAACCCTTCTTAGCTCAATAAGGACACTATGTGAAAGATTCAGTGCTGCCGAAGCACTGAGACATTACAATCATATCTAAATGGCTTTCCAGTGGCTGTGAAGCGGGAGATCTGGCTGGGCTGAGGATGGCGGATCTCGTTGTCCTCCCAGCCCCTCAAACCTCTCCTGAAGGCCCTCGATAAAATGGTTTTATCCCCTTTCCCCCCAAATCATATACAAATGTAACAGACCATATTTTCCATTGTGTACACCTAAAAGACTTACAGTGCCGACAGGAACCTGTATTGAAATAATGGGGAGGAAGGAAGGGTGGTATCGTTGTGTCAATTTTAAATACGGTGAATTGGAGGCAGGGATCTGGAAAACAGGAGGTTATGCCCATTCTAAAAGTCCCTATGATGTAGGTGACAGGGAGTTTAAATAACTTGTAGGGTGGTACAGTTCGCAAGGACTGGGTTAGAAACTTTTGATTCCAAAACCTAAAGCTGTGCTTTCTGGGCTGCAATGCCACTGCAGAGCTCAGGTTAGGCACTGGGGTTCCTTGTCGTGTTTCTGGCCTCTTGGGTCTTACAGCCCTTAATGGGAGGCTGGCTCATGGTGGGTAGTTCCTGAAAGGCCTGGAGGCTGCGTGTATGAGAAGCTACCCACAGGAAACAAACCTGACTTCCCTATGTGCCTGCCTTGTGGTTATAAAACTATGAATGGAAGTCCATTAGGGTGGCTAATGAGTGTGGTCAGGAAGACCTTGCTTCCTGCCCAGGGAGTCTAAATCTCCAGGCTTCGGGAGTAAGTGCTTACGAGGGGCTGTCCCCTGGGATGAGCAGAGCTATTGTCTGTGACCTATAGGAAGACTGTATGTTAGTGCTGGGAAGTCTTCCAGTGACAGATTGAACTATTATTTTTCAAGCCTATTTTTTAGAGGGAATGTATGTAATAGAAGAGACTGGAAGAGGCTTTGGAGTCATGTGGCCCTGTGGGCACTGATTATGACTTTAGGCAATTTTCTTGTAAATGTTAAATCTCAATTTCCTTACCTGCAAATGCAGATAATGATTTTTACTTACAGGGTTGTTGTTAGGTTTTACTGACATAATGTAAGCAGAGCACCTAACTTCCAGGCCTGGTACATAGTAGGCATTCAATAAATAGTAGTGGTGGGAGGGTGGTTGGGTTTTGCTATTATTCCTGTTGATGTCATTCTTGCCGCTCTGTGCCAGGTACTTATCAAATGCAGTTATTACTGTGATTAGCATTTTCATTGTTGCCTTACTTTATCATTTAAATTTCTTTTTGAATATGAGTAACACATTGGCCACTATCTCATTTAGTCCTCAAACCAATCCTGTAAGGAAGGGAACCAAGGTTGGTATTATTATCCTCAGTGTATTGATGAAGAGGCTGAGGCGTAGAGAGCTTGTGATTGGTCAAGATCAGTAAGTGCAGACTCAGCCCTGGAGCTTACATCCTCAGAGTTCAAGTCCAATTCCTTTTCTGTTATCGGAGTGCTGTCTGCTGGCCTGAAGAGGAGGGATCTGATTAGGTGTGAAGGGCATGTAGCCTAGGCCATAGTTAGTCAGTAGCTCTTACAAAGGATCCCTGAGGTCCTGCCACTGCCTCTATGTTATGTTCTGTCCGCCTCTGTTCTTCCTTTCTGCTGCCAGCAGTGACTTCTGTGAGGTTCAAGAATACTGTTCCATCCTTCGAGATGGCCTGAGGGAATTCCAAAGGCACTCCATGGCTCCAAATCTTAGCATATGTTACAAGGGCTTACTATACTTAATGTAAGATGTCTTTAGGTCAGTGTGTTGCCCTTCAGACATATGTTTGCAATTCACATATCCCTCTCAAACACAATTTCCTTATCTGTCAAAAGGGGTCAGCAGTAATGCTGAATTTGTTATTTCTGAGGATTAAATGAAATAAAATTGAGAATACCTTAGATAGTACCTGACACAGAAAAGATGGATAAAAAAGTGCCTTGGAAACTAACCTATACCTTATATTTGTATTATATGGAAACTGATTTATTTCTATAGACAAGAAGCCTATCAAGATCTTTTTTCATACACAAGTAGTACAGGGATTTTATCCTTTTTTTGTCTTCTCTCTTAATTGATCCACTCTGATTTGTCTTTCCACACCAAGTTTAAAAAGTCATTTTCCCCTCTCTGAAGTCTCTACATTGCCAAACATGTTCCTGTAGCATTTTGTATGGACTTTCGTTATAGCACACCTCTTTTATACTGTGATTTTAAAAAGTATTTTTTAATATGATTATTTTATTTAGTAGCAAGGTTGTTCCTCAAACTGGTGCATATCAGAATCTCCTGGAGGGTTTATTAAAATACAGAATTTCTAAGACTGGCTAGAGCCTGAAAGTTTTCATTTTCAACAAGTTTCCAGATGTTGATCCTGCTGGTCTAGGGACCTCATATTGAGTACCACTGGGCTATGTTAATAAATTGTGAATTCTTCAAGGGTAAGACCATATCTTAATCATCTCTGCTTAGTGTTTAAGGTCTGGTACTTAGTAGATGCTCAGTAAGTACTGAGTGACTCTAATTGTGTATCGAATGTACTCTGATTTCAGGTGGCCATTAAGCAGATGAACCTTCAGCAGCAGCCGAAGAAAGAGCTGATTATTAATGAGATCCTGGTCATGAGGGAAAATAAGAACCCAAATATTGTGAACTACTTGGACAGGTATGGACCGGTTCTGTCAGAGAGATAGGGCCTTTGTGACTGATGGATGGTGGAGGTGTTAAAGGAGAAGGCAACGCCTCCACTGAAGAACCTTCTATGATGCTTAGCTCTGTGCCTCTGACCCTGCATACTGCTGACACCTCTGCTTGCTGTACAATCTTCTGGGTTAGACTGAACCCTACCGCCCTGTAGCTCCTAACAGTACTGTTTGTTCTTCCTCAGAGAAGCCCTTCAGCCGCTCGGCCTGGGTCAAACCTCTAGGCTTTTAAATCATTCTGTATCTCAAATCTTTCCTCATCATGTTCACCCACCTTCTAGCTTGTCTGGTATTCTCGCAAAATGTGACACTCAGTATTTTTATTTCAGATTTGACCAGAATGGAGAGAGTGGGACTTCTCCTTTGTTCTAAATGCCACACAAGCTAATGATTTCATTCATTATTTTGTTTGTGTTTTTTTTGTTTTTTAAGGAGGCGTGTTTCATTGTTAACCCCTAGTAAGTTGTAGTCAATTAATCACAAGCTAATGATTTCATTCATTATTTTGTTTTTTGTTTGTTTGTTTGTTTTTTAAGGAGGCGCGTTTCATTGTTAACCCCTAGTAAGTTGTAGTCAATTAAAATCTCTGATCTTTTTTGTTTTGTTTTACATGACCATGCCTTAAACTGGTAATGTAGAACTTCTTAGTTGTCTTCATTAAATCCCATTTTGATTTTTTCAGCCTGTTGTTTCAGTTCATCAGAATTCTGTTCTTCAACATAATAATGGTGGTTGTAGCTAGCATTTGTGTTATGCTTTACTTGTGAGGTAGGATTTATTATCTAAGAAACCGAGGTTCATAGAAGTTAACAACTAATTCAAGACCAGTACACAGTAAGGAGCAGATGAGGGTTTTGTGTTTGAATATCCCTAGCATCATGTCATGTTCTTTCCTTCCACATATGAAAAAAGAAAAGGAGCTTCTTGCCTGGATTTCAGAGACAGCACAGATGGAGGTGATAGTGGACTGTCTTGGACTTTAATTCCTTTACTCTTTATATTGCATTGCCAACTGATTTCATTTCTGTCAGATTTCTTGTTTTGCATACAAAACATCAGTAAGCTTCAGTTTCTGTAAAAAGGAAAGGAGTTGGACTTGGACGCTCCCGACGTATGATGTTGATAGCTGTAGAGAACAAAGCCTTCTCCTTTTGGGGGATGATTGTCTATGATGTGGGTCATGACTGGCTCTGAAGAACCTTCTGAAAGTTATTACCTTCCCATCTCTTTTAAGAACCTATTACACAGAGAATATAGCTTGGACACAATACTGAGGGCTATAAGTATACCAGATTTAGTTCTGTAAGGGGCTCAGGATAAGGAAAAATGAAAACTGTCCAATAAGGATATGGCCTATCCCATAAGATAGTGAGTTCCTCATCACTGGAGGTACTAAACAATAAAATGCATGACAATGTTGTTGGAGGAATTTGTGTTCTGGGAATTGGATTAGAAAATTTTTAAATGTATTGATCAAGCCTTTGCTGGTGTATCCAGAAGCTTAAACTGTGGAATTAGAAGGAAATAAAGCTCAGTCCCTGCCCTCAAATAGCTCCTAATTGGCTGTGGAAAAAAACCACGTGGGAGCACCTGTGGGAGGACAGCAGTGGGTAGCCTTCACCTGAGCACTCAGTGCAGGTATTGCAATGGAGAGTTTGTGATTTTTGTGAGTTGTCCCAGAGGAGAACTTCTCCACATTATTTGTTCTCCAGATATGTGATGTTCTGAAGCTTTATCTAAAGACTAGAGGCCTGGTGAATGAAAATTCATGCACTGTAAGGAGTGGTCCCTCAGCCTGGCCTGCCCCCTCTCACAGTCCGGGAGCCCTCAGGGGCGGGAGGCAACCCGGCGATCAGGGGAAGGCGATGCCCCTATCACGCCCCTGCTGCTGCCACTGCCGGCAGCGCAAGCCTTGGCCGGCCCTGGTTACCTGAGCCTCGGGCAGCCCTGGGCGGCTGGGCAGCCGCTATCCGAGGCTTGCCTGAACCTCAGGCCGGCCCTGGGGGGCTGAGGGGCTGAGGGGACTGGGCGCTGCCATCTTGTGGCTGTGGGCACCACCATCTTTGAGGGCGTAACAGTTAATTAGCATACTCCCTCTTTATTGGCTGTAGGCACCACCATCTTGTGGGGGTGTGATGGTCAATTAGCATATCCCATCTTTATTAGATAGGATGTGATTTTTGAAGGTACCTTGGTGCAGTGTGTAGCTATAAAGTGTTTAACACAACATGAATCTGGGTGCCTATTGTTTTAGATTTGTGCCTGGGTAAATGGACTCTGCTTTGCATGTGTCTGGAGATAGTCTCTTGGCCCCTCAGATTTCTCCCTCCAATTAGTCCAAGTTGACAGATGTCTTTTTGATGTGCTGGGTGAGAGGCCATAAATGTGCATTGTTTTATTAGGGAGGAAATAGGTTCATGTCCCTGGAGGGCTTTTTACCCAGTTCTGAATTCTCTTTCGGTTCAAATCTTCTTTCTCAAAAGAGATTGTTGAAAAAAGATTTACTATGTCACATTTATTCATTTTGCAAATTAAAAAACTATAAGACTTTAAATTATAAGTAATCTTAAGGAAGGAGTACTAGATTCATAGTCAAGAGAGTAAGATTCAAATCTTAGCCTTTGCTTGAGACCTTTTCCTCCCTCTTCTCCCCCCACCCCTAACAGTGTCCCCATCTGCCCAGTAGCAGGATGAAGATAAGGTGACATACCATACAGCTCAAGCCAATCCAATCTAGCTTCTTTGTCTGAAGCTAGCAGAGAGTCTTTAGGGCTCTGGGCTAGCCTTGTTTTATTTGTCTTATTCTATAGCTGAGGATGCTGACCAGACTGGCTAAGTGATCTTTTTATCAGTGAAATTATGGGTTCTAACTCATGTCAAACTCATAATCTCTTTAGGGATACAGTACGAAGTGGCAGCCCTTGGCTTACCAGAAGAGGCTTTGGCCCTGAATCCCTTACTGGACTCATTCCATTCCTGGAATCAGATACACTCAAAATAGAGATCATTGCCAGAGTAATGACTATGTGTGTAATACTTTACAGCTTTTAAATGGCTTTTATAGCCTTCTTTCTTTTAATATTTACAGTTATCTTTTATTTTACCAACTAGAGGCCCGGTGCAAGAAATTTTGTGCACAGGTAGGGTCCCTAGGCCTGGCCAGTGATCAGGGCCAATTTGGGGCAACCAATGGGGCAATCGGGGGGGTGTGTGGCTCTGGCACTCGCCTTGGCTGGCCTGGGGCCTGCGGGCTGGGGGCAGCTCCTGCATTGAAGATCTGCCCCCTGGTAGTCAGTGCACGTCATAGCAACTGGTCATTCCACCAGTTGTTCTGCCGTTCGGTTGATTTGCATATTAGGCTTGTATTATATAGGATTGATTTCTTCAGTAAATATTGGCATCTACTGTGCTGGATTCTGGGAGAGAGTCTTGAACTGGACCTAGTATTTAGTCTCATGGGAGAACCCTCAAGGAGGTTGAGTGATTGCCTGTATTGGTAACATGGCCTCCAAGTCCTATCTTTGTTAAATGGTGGGGTGCTCTCTGCTTTGGTGCTTCTAGAGGTGTGGGAATTGTATCAAATTTTAGGAGGCATTGCTTTGTGTTGTGACAAAATATAATTTTATATTTCATATCTTCAACCTAGTGATCTGTCCTCTGGGGCTTCACAGAATAGTCTGCTTTGTTTTCTCCAGGTGAATTCCTAAGAGCTATCAAGTTAGTAATTCTGTTCCCCAGATTCTGCTTTTCCCCAGAAAACAGACTCTTCCAGAGCTGATGGAAATGCAGGTTCACTCTGTCTATGTGCTGAGCCTTTGAAATCCAGTTCTATGGCTCAGTGTACTCTGTTCCTTCTTACCCTTTATCCTACAGTTACCTCGTGGGAGATGAGCTGTGGGTTGTCATGGAATACTTGGCTGGAGGCTCTTTGACAGATGTGGTGACGGAAACCTGCATGGATGAAGGCCAGATTGCAGCTGTTTGCCGTGAGGTAAGGCCAGTGGCCAAACCAGCCTTGAGCAGGATGTAGTCTCCATACCCAGGTCTGTCAATGTTCAACATCTGGTGGGATCTCAGCCTGGGCACTGTGCAGGTGGGAGAAATTAGATGGGAAGTCAGACTCTCCCATCATTCTTTTATTATACCTGTTTTGAAATTTCTATCACCATGATTTTTTCTTTAAAGATAACTTTATTTCGATTATAAAATTACTAGAGGCCTGATGCACAAAAATCGTGCAAGAGTAGGCCCTCGTAGACCTGTGGCCCCGACCCCCCACTGGTTGTTCTGGAAGGTCGTTCCAGAAGGTCATTCCACTGTCTGCTCTAATTAGCATATTAGCTCCTTATTATATAGATATACCCATTATAGAAAAATTAAAAAGTACCAAAATATATATCAAGTCACTCATAATTTCAACCCTTAAAGATAACTGCTATAAACACTTTGTAATATTTTCCTCTCTTTTATACCCCCCACTGGTTGTTCCGGAAGGTCGTTCCAGAAGGTCATTCCACTGTCTGCTCTAATTAGCATATTAGCTCCTTATTATATAGATATACCCATTATAGAAAAATTAAAAAGTACCAAAATATATATCAAGTCACTCATAATTTCAACCCTTAAAGATAACTGCTATAAACACTTTGTAATATTTTCCTCTCTTTTATATGGATATATATTTTTAATCATATGTGCTATGAGGTTTCCTATGAAGCAGAGAAAGAAGGTGGTGACAGAGGAATTGCTCTTTTAGACAGAGTCATCAGGGAAGGCTTTGCATAGGTTTGAATAAAGATCTGAATGATATGAGAAAGTAAGCCAAGCTAAAAATCTAGGGTAAAATATTTCCAGGCAAAAGAAATAGAAAGCAAAGCATACATGGGTATTCTCCTTTCTCCTCTTTGCTAATAAGTGTCTGAGGTCTATAATGTGCTGGAGTCAGAAGGGGGAGAACACTCTCTGTAAAGGCTCCATGAGCAGCACTCAGAGGATAGCCACGTTGTCATTAGAGCAAGAAGATGAAGGGAATATTCAGGGAAGTTGAGGATATTGGATGTTTTGCTGATATGAGACTGGAACTTTTCAATAGCCCAGAGAAAAGTTTGGGAATTGGGGAAAGGGAAAGTAGAAGATTATATTAGGTCCAGAGTTTTATGGGGATGTGTCCAATAGTATGATTGAGGTTTGATGATGTAACACCTGGAGGCATACAGGTGAATTTATGTAGTTGTATATTTAATCAATATTAGGAAACAAAAGCCTGTGAAATCAGTACTGTCCTAGAAAATATGATCACCTTTGCTTTAAAAACCCTGTGATCTAGAACAAGTACAATAGGTTAATGGAATTAATACCAGCTTGGGATTCTTAGGTCTGACTTCTTTTCTGTACCACTGATGCAGGGTTTCAACTTTTTCCCCATTATTTTTGCCCCCACCTCAAAGAGCCTTTGAAAACATTTTTTTTCTAATCACATTGCCCCCATGAAATTTTAATATCATAGGTACATTATGTTGAATATCTGTTTATGTACTGTGACCCTTTGGAAACCACAAACCATTGTAATGTCTAAGATGTTTTTTACTCACCCCAGAAACCCACTTTCACTGGTTAAAAATACATGCGTGATACATGCATGTGTACTCAAGGAAATCAATTTGCCTCAGATTATTTATCTTTAAAATAGAAATGCACAGGGTATATACCTTAGGGGTGCCATATGGATCAAAAAGCACTTCGAAGAATTTTTAAATGTTGAATAAATAAATGGCATTGCTGTTTCATTGAGTTCTAATAGAGATCATCCCACTTTTTAAAAAAGCTTTAGTGAGATACAGTTCACCCATAAAGCACAGGTGGTCCTGACTTATGATGAATCACCTATGACATTTTGACTTTATGATGGTGCAAAAGCAGATGCATTTAGTAGAAACAATACTTTGGATTTTGAATTTTGATCCACTCAATCAAGGCATATACTTTTATTGTTTTCAGTATATTGAGTTGTACAACCATCACTATAAACAAGTTTATCACCCCAAAAAGAAACTCCATACCTGTTAGCAGTCTCTTTCCACTCACCCCACTCCTATAGATTTGCTTGTTTTGGGTTTCATATAAATGCAATCATGTAGTATTTGCTTATTTTTGACTGGCTTCTTTCACTTAGCATAATGGTTTGAATGTTCATCCTTATTATAGAACATAGCAATGCTTTATTCCTCTTAATAGCAAATCAGATTCCATTTATTTATCTGTTCATCAGTTGATGGACATTTGGGTCATTTCCACTTTTTGGCTATTGTGAATAATGCTATGAACATTCATGCATATGTTTTTATTTGGATGTATTTTTTATTATTATTAATCCTCACCCAATGATATGTTTTTGATTGATGAGAGAGAGAGAGAGAGAGAGAGAGAGAGAGAAGAAAGTTCAATCGGTTGCCTCCTGTACGCGCCCAGACTGGGGATCGAACCCACAACCTGGGTATGTGACCTGACACTTCAACCAACTGAGCCACACGGGCCAGGGCTGGATGTATGTTTTAATTTCTCTTGGGTATATGCCTAGGAAAACATTTTGAGGAATGGCCACACTGTTCTCTAAAGTGGCTGTACCATTTTACATTTCTCCTAGCAGTGCATGAGGGTTCCAATTTCTTGAAATCATCCTTTTTGTTCATAATTTTTGACATTCAGAGGCCAGGGTTTTTAGCCTCCTAAGGAAAACAACTATTACTTTTATAGGGAATAGCCACTTCTGGATATTGGTTTGTTTTTAATTTAGCCATTAGTATACTTTTAAAAATAAAGTATTAATTTGAGAACATTTAAATATCATTTTCATATTGGTTTATATCTTTACTAGAGGCCCAATGCACGAAATTTGTGCAATAGTAGGCCTTCCTTCCTCTGGCTGCCGGCACCGGCTTCCCTCTGGCACCTGGGACCCGGGCTTCCCTCCAGCTGCCAACAGGCACCCAGGACCCGGGCTTCATCTGGAAGGTCGTTCGGAAGGACAGCGGTCTAATTAGCATATTATGCTTTTATTGTTATAGATGGTTTTTAATTTGGTAGAAGCTTCTAAAATTTTAGCTTTGGGTTCTGGACTTAACTTAGTAGATTTAGTAGCATTTTATAGATGGGAAAACAGTAGCCCAGAGAGTAAGTGATTTATCTAGAATGATTTTGTCCATCAGGAGTGGCAGAACCAGGCACTTTCATTCTTCCATTCAGTCTCTATCTTATTCATTCTGCCTGCTAAGTATAGGTGTTTTCTAAGGTTTTTTTCTATCTCCTCTTATCTTCTATAACATTTGCCAGTTCCAACCATTTCTATAACTTAAAAAAAAAATCACCTCTTCACATATGACTCATAAATATCTATCTCAAGTCTAGACCTCTGTATAGAACTTAAGACTCTTATGTTCAGTTGCTTACTGGACTTTGTCTACAAATGCTTATAGGTATATAAATTTAGCATACCCCAAACAATATAAATTATCTCCAAAATAAGATTATCCTTCTAACTTTACTGCTTCTAATATCAGTTCCAGATGCCTAGTTTCCCAAATATGACTTATTTGTCACTTTCCTCCAGTTTTATTATTACAAAATTCTTTCCATTCTTCCTCAGTAGTTTTTTTGGGGGGTCTCAGGTTCTTTGCCAAGTATCTAATGCTCTGTAAAAAACTCCAAAATAAAATATATTGGAGGAACTCACGTACTGAAAGAAAACTGCTATATGGTATATTATAGTAAGGTATAATAAATAAGGTATAATCTATCATAATAAAAGCATAATATGCTAATTAGACCAGACAGCCGAACGACCTTCCGGACGTCATTCCGGACGTCCTTCCGGACAAAGCCGTAGGGGCCGAGGCAGAGGCGGTTAGGGGTGATCAGACAGGCAGGTGAGCAGTTAGGGGCGATGAGGCAGGCAGGCAGAGTGGTTAGGGGCAATCAGGCAGGCAGGCAGGTGAGCAGTTAGGAGCCAGTGGTCCTGGATTGTGAGAAGGATGTTTGACTGCTGGTTTAGACCTAATCAGTTGGACATCCCCCAAGGGGTCCTGGATTGCAAGAGGGTGCAGGCCGGGCTGAGGGACCTGCCCCTCTAGTAAAGGTATAAGGCAGCATGTAGTGTTAGAGGAATGCTTAACTGAGAGACAGGAGACTAGAGTCTCTAGACCTATCTATGCTGCTCATTTGGAGCAAGTCCTTTTACTTGTTGGGGCCTCACTTTATCATACAATTAGGAAGTTGGATTAGTTGATTTCCTGTAAGTCTTCGTATTATATGTCCTTTCTTTCTCCCCCTGCCCACACCTCTTCAATAGTGCCTGCAAGCTTTGGAGTTTCTGCATTCCAACCAGGTCATTCACAGAGATATCAAGAGTGACAACATCCTGTTGGGAATGGATGGCTCTGTCAAGCTAAGTGAGTAGGAGTGATAATGCTTCTCTTCCCTGTGGGACCCTGTCTCCTGTGGGACAGTGTTCATATAATAGTAGCTAGAGCACTCACCAAAGAGCATTTCCTCGGATCTTTATATTACTACTATATAAGGTGTCATTTTTTTTTCATTCATTTATACATTTAGCCAAAAAAATGTGCTTAATGCTCCCTATGTGCTAGGTCTTCTGATGGATACGGAGGACGCTTTGCCTTTCTTCAAGTAGTTCTCAGTCTACATGAAATACATAATTACAAAAATGAGTTTAGTGTAATTTTTGTCACTCAGTCATCCATTCAGTATTATATGTCTGTTATATTCCAGACCCTCTTGGAATAAAAAAATGAGTGAGAAGACAGTTCTTCCTATCAAAGGCCTCGTAATTTAAATAAACATATAATTGCAATGTAATGTAAATGAACTTCAGTCAGAATAAAAGTGTAAGGACCAGTAGTCCAGACAAACAGTTGTGTCATAGGTGGATGGGGAGACTGTTCTCAGTCTCTCTCTGACCACAGGGTGAGGAACAGATAAAAGTAGGGCCCTGCCTCATTGTAAGTGATTAGAGATTAAGTCTGAGACTCATGCCCAGGAAGTAAAGCAAGGACCTACCTGCCGGATTTTGGGATATGGGGATTGTTTTCAAGAAGAAAGAAGAATTGGAGCAAGTAATCAAGGCCAAATGGGCAGCTTGGACTTTAATGTCTAGTCCTTTTGGCTTGAGGATGGATAAAAGGCCAGAGGTGATATTTGTTATGTTGCTCCTACTTCTCTTTAAGGTTGAACAGGGGACAGGCTAGGACAGGGGTGGGCAAACTTTTTTACTCGAGGGCCACAATGGGTTCTTAAACTGGACCGGAGGGCCGGAACAAAAGCATGGATGGAGTGTTTGTGTGAACTAATATAAATTCAAAATAAACATCATTACATAAAAGGGTTCGGTCTTTTTTTTTTTTTTAGTTTTATTCACGGCTGGCCTAGAGCCTTCAGAGGGAGCATGGCCCTGCCAGCCATTTGACTTTGGACTTCTGGTCTCCAGAACAGGGAGAGAATGGAGTTATGTTGTTTTAAACCACCGAGTTCGTGGTGTTTGTTACAGCAGACACGGGAAGCTAATACAGACACCATAAGTGGTTGTGATTATCATAACTATTCCTCTGTGCGGTTCAACCAAAATTCACATCCGATCTCAAGTGAGGGCAGGTTGTGTGCACACGCCCACGGCTGTGCACGAAGATGAACGCCTTGCACTAAGGGCATCCTCTCCCCGCACAGGGGCCACTCCCTGGAGGGTGTACCGGCCCCTCCCTTGCTACATGGTGTTTGAGAAACCTTCTAGTCATCCCGCAATCTGACTTGGCCAATTTCCTTACTGAAATCAGACCTCCTCATAACACTGCACCTCAGCAGCCTGGCTTCCGGAGGCGGCACCTCCCCCACAGGCTCTTTGGAAAGACAGCAGGGCCAGGTGGGTGGACAGCAAAAGGCTCAGGTGTATGGTCCCGGAGGAGCTATTTCTTTCTTTTTTTAAAAAAAATATATTTTTATTGATTTCAGAGAGGAAGGGAGAGGGAGAGAGAGATAGAAACATCAATGATGAGAGAGAAAGGGCATGTCTGGGACCAAGTGAGAACCTCATTTGGAACCTAAGGTGATTTTCCACTTGTATTGTCAGGCCTTGTACCTCATTGCCACCAATGGGACCCCAGAGCTTCAGAACCCAGAGAAGCTGTCATCTATCTTCCGAGGACTTTCTGACCGCTGTCTTGAGATGGATGTGGAGAAGAGAGGTTCGGCTAAAGAGCTGTTACAGGTAACTGGTCTATGCAGAGAAGCTTCTGGTTTGGGGAAACCACTAAACTAAACCTGTTTTGCTTCATTTTTGTCTGTGAGGTATGGGTTTTTATAGAACCTGGCCTCTCTCTTACCACTTTTGCACTCAACCTATATTCCCAGGTCCCTAACCTCCTTCATCCTGGGCTTCTGCTCCTGTCATTCCCTTAGGTTCTTCTTCAGCCTGTTAAAACTCTGCATTCTCCCAGGCTCAGCTGAAAGATCTATCTGGGCTCCTATTGAACTTTGCTTGTATCTTCCTTTAGCACTTGTTTTGTTCTGCCTGGTTTGGTCTAGCAGAGTTTGAGTCTTTGGTAGAAGATGCTCTCTAATATGAAAATATTACAAAAGTTATATTTTACTGGAGATAAGCTCAAAAAATGCATTTTCAGTAAAGGGTATCAGAGGTCATAAGTTTGGGGGATCATTAGAGTGCAGCTTTTCAAGTCTTCCCTGTTTCTTCAGTTGAAACCCTCTCAGATGGTGGCAATGATATTCTGCCAGCCTAAAGTCAGGGGTTTACTATGTCTTTTATACTACTACCTGCTGAATTCTGAATAGACAGCCTAATTATTTCACAGGGTTGCAAAAGCTGTCTTTAGCAGGCCACATTATTTGTATTTAACACTTATGTTTCAGGTACAATTTGTTATTACTAGTATATTTTACTACATTGCCTATGGTGATTTAATAATAAGTATCACATAACTTTATAACAGTGAGTCATCTGTAGGCATGCACAGTCAGTCACTTTTGTGTTAGGACCAAGAGCAACTAAGCAGGGCAGGGCAGAGCAAGATCTACCACACTGCCCTGCATTAAAGTTAGTTAATGAACATTTCTGTTTTTCCCACTAGATTACAACCTCCATTTTATTAGACTCTGGGTCTCCTCTTATAGCTAGGACCTAGTTCAGAATAGGTATTTAGAAGAAATCTGTTAAATTGAATGGAATTGCTTAAATTGAAATGTTACCCTCTGGAACATATTTAGCATTTCTTTGTAATTGGGGTTACTGGTTACAGAGCATTGGTCAATTAGATATGGGATCTGGGTTCTGCCAAGTGTAATCCAATCGTCTCTAGAATCCTTTGGGACTAAAAACCCCTTATAACACGCAGTACAGATAGGATCCCTTTGCCTTTCATATGAGGTTTGTTCAGGAAACCCGAGGCATTGGGAAATGTGCAAATACTATGTTAAGGCTGTGACTGAAGATATTGTTAATTAGGTACCAAATCGTAGTTATTGAAAGAGTAGTGCCCTCTAGAGTTTTCTCGATATAATAATGTAACTAATAATAAATGCAGGATTTTGAATCTTTACCACACTCTAGGCACTAAGAATTTTATATATTTTTCATTCATACTTTATAATAACCTGAGAGTTATAGCTTCTGTTATTCCCAAGTTTACACATGAAAAAAAAGAGAGAATTCAAGCATTTAGTAACTTTTTTATGATTACATAACTGATAAGTGGGTAACCAGGATTTCAACCTATGTTCATTAGGCTCTCAAGTTTGTGTGCTCTTGGCCACTGCTCTTTTGGCTCAAAGAAAGTGAAAACTGGAAGGGCCTTAGGGTTTATCTAGTCTACTTTGTTCACTATATAGAGAAGGAAACTGAAGCCTCTCAGTTGGATATTTGATCGTGCTGCTTTCTCAGCTCAGAGGCTCATAGAACATGTGATCTGAGGACATGGGCTCTTTAACGTTACTGTACATTGTAAATATTTAAAAACCACGACTCTTGGAATCTTAAAGAATGAAAGCTTCACATCTATTTCTCCAGTGCAAACACATATGTGAACAGAAGTACATAGGATCTTATGTTGGAATTTATGTCTGCATGATTTAGCCAGATCTTTTATTCCTTTCATAATAATTGTAACTTCTTGTTCTTAGTACCTCTTTATGTTCTATCTCTGTCCAAAAGGAAGTTGAAGCAACTTGCTACCAAAGAATCTATATATATTGTCTCTGTGTGTGTCTGTACACATATACAGCATGATTAAAAAGGGACTTATAAGGATGGCAAAAAAAATTAAACTTGCAAATAATCTGAGTTAAATTGTTTTGTTTAAACATCAAATTTAGTTCCAAGTTTTCTGGTGGTTGGACTGGAAAGGAAATGTGATAGTTCCTATATTCTTATCAAATTGAAGAAATATCCCCTATTCTCAAGGCACAAAGCTTTTTTACTAATAAATATAAGGAAAATCATTTTTAGTTAAGAGACTGAGTTATGTAAAAAATTGTTTTTCATCACAGTTTTATTGAAAATGTACATGCCGTTTTCATATGGTGTTTTCTCTAAAAAGTCTTCTTTAATAGTTGGGGATATGGCCCAAAGTACAGTCCAATGAAAGTGATTTGGGTTAGGACCAAGCTATTGATCAAGTCCTTACTGGATTAATTAGCCTTACTGGATTCAAGGATAGCACAACAAACTATGTGGTCTCATATGCTCCTGAAATGCAGTATTTCAATATATCATTGAGTCATGATTAGTCAATACCTTCCCACAATTACAGAGGTAATTGTTGTTCTGATTATCACTATAGTTTAGTCTTACCTAATCCTATCTAATAATAGACAAACATGGTAATTGACTGTACCTTTGCTACGCCTCCCATTGGCTAACCAGCATGATATGCAAATTAACCGTCAACAAAGATGGTGGCTAATTTGCATACTGCAGAGAGGGCGGGCCAGTGCGAGCCGCCATCCGGGCCCCGTGTGCCGCCTAAGCCCCGCCCCCATCCGGGACCCCAGTGTGCAGCCTTGGGCAGCGGGGCTTGGCGCTGTGATCGTGATCGTGATCGGAAACCAGGCCGCAGGCAAGGCAGCACCCTGGAACCCAGGAGCCGCCTTGCCTGCGGCCCGTGATTGTGATCGGAAAGCCGGGTGCAGGTAAGGCTGCACCCCAGGACCCAGGAGCCGCCCTGCCTGCAGCCCATGATTGTGATCGGAAAGCCGGTCTGCAGGCAAGGCAGCTCCCTGGAACCCAGGAGCCCATCGGCGAGGTCTGCAGGCAAAGCAGTGATCAAGCTATGAGGGGTAGGGTGGGGGGCCGGAAGGAGCTACAGGAGCAGCTCTGGCCGGAGACTGAAGACTCCGGCCGGAGCGAGGAGCAAAGACTGAAGGCTCCAGCCACAGCGAAGACTGTGTCCAGAGCGAAGATGGAAGGCGGTGGCCAGAGTGAAGGTCTGGGTCCCGGGTGCCAGAGGAAAACTGGTGCTGGTAGCCAGGGGAAAGAAGGCCTATTGCACGAATCTCTTCGTGCAACGGGCCTCTAGTATAATATAAACTCCTTTGTATCTGGCTTCTTTCATTCAACATAATGTTTGTGGGCTTTGTCTCATTGTCAGTGTACCAATTATTTACTGTATTTCTGTAATTTTCTGCATAGTATTTTATGACTATAACATTATTCATCCTTCCATTCTCTTGGATATTTGGGTTCTTTTTAGTTATGGCTATTAGAAGTAAAGCTGTGACAAACAGCCTTATGTCTGTCTTTTGATGGATACACAAACTCCTCTTGGAAATATCCCTAGGAGTGGAATTGCTGGCATATAGGACAGATTGTGTTTAGTTGAAAGTAGATACCGCCAAATGGTTTTCCAAAATGGGTTGTTATCTTTTAAAGATGTCCTTCAATTTGGGGATAATCTGAAGCTCTCCAGGCAGACATGGATGCCCTTAACATCTTGTAATGGCTACTGAGGAAGAATGGTCAATAGTCATGTGTCTTTTGCTCTTTTTTTTCTTTTCTAGCATCAGTTCCTGAAGATTGCCAAACCCCTCTCCAGCCTCACTCCACTCATCGCTGCAGCAAAGGAGGCAACCAAGAACAATCACTAAAACCACACTCACCCCAGCCTCCTTGTACCAAGCCTTCCGTGAAATTAATGCTAATTCCAGAAATTCCAACCCTTGATGCTCTCTCTTCCTTGCCTTGCTCCTCCCATTTCCTGGTCTAGTGCTCTCAAGACTTTGATCCTTGAAAACCATGTGTCCAGCATTGAAGAGAAATGCAACTGACTACTCAGATGACGGCCATCTGAATAAGGAATTTCCTCCTGATTTGCGGATGTGAGGATGGTTTATGATCCGAGCTCATAGGAATAAACCCTTGGACTCCTGTTTCTACCTAGCAAAATCTTCTTCACATACCACCTCTTCCCAAACCCCAGGCCAATCCGTTTTTGGCTGTATAAATTTTTGGCTTTATAACATTATCAATTTGTAATTGGTTGAGGCTTCTTTAGTTCTTGATTTTCTGTGACTGAACTGCCCAAACACCGTATTGTACTTGAAAATTGGAACAGCTTGAGGAATGCCCTGGTGGTTGATAATCTGTCAGGGACATGAAATGACTCAGCTTCCTGGACCATGTCTGTGGCACAGCTGATACTGAGATGGGAAGAGAGGGCTACCACATTTTTCCTTGTGTGTGCTTCTACAGCTGCTTGGGAGGATCTTGACCCAGTAGTGTTCCCCATGCTATTTCTTGTGAGATGGTCTTGGCTATCTATGTAGCAGCTTTTGACTCCCTACATCCTTTAGACTGCTGCTCCCCATTCTGTCCTTGTTTAGAACTCAGAAGTTTCCTAGGGCCTATGCTGAGAGCAGTGTGAGAAGTCAGGAGAGAAAACATTAGCTGCTTTTAGAACAAGGCTGGATATCAGTACCTGTCCAGCTATACCTATGTGATATTTTAAGAACTCAGTCTCTTTTTCCTTTTGGGATAAGGAGCTGAAAGGTTAAGTGAGATCTTCCAATGGCCTGAATCTTTCGGTCAAAGGGAAGGATCTCCAAATCTTAGACTACATGTTAGTTTGGATGGACTTGGTGGCTTGAGATGATACTCTGCCAGCTGTGAGGGGACCCTGTTTTCACAATGCATGGCCAAGCTCTCTGCAAATGGAAATGCTTGCACTGGGTGTTTGGGATGTTTGCTACCTCCTGCTATCTTTGTGGTTTTGGTCCTGCCACTATGGTAGGACCCCTGGCCAGCATTGTGGCTTGTCATGTCAGCCCCATTGGCTACCTTGTTATGCTCTGAGGTACTACTGCCTCTGCAGCACAGGTTTTATTTCCTTCAATAAAAGAGGATGAAAATACTCTACTTGGAGTATATGCCTTTCTTTTTTCCTTTATTTCCTGGGTTTTTTATTTTGACATAATCTCAAACTAAAGAAAACAAATTTATGAAATAAATATATATTTTTCTTCTCCATTTGAGATTAAGTGCAGATAAAATGCCCCTTTACCCCTATATATTTCAATGTGTATTTTTTCTTTAAAAAAATATTTTAGAGAAGAAGGGAGAGGGAGAGAGAGAGAGATAAAAACATCAGTGATGAGAGGGAATCATTGATAGACTGCGTCCTGCACACCCCACACTGGGGATCGAGCCCACAACTGGGGCATGAGCCCTGACCGGAACCAAACCGTGACCTGGTTCATAGGTCAACGCTCAACCACTGAGCCATGCTAGCCAGGCTCTTTCTTAACACTTTTATTTTAAATATAAATTAAGAGAAATGGGCCAAAATGTTTGTATATTATAAGGTACTAGGGGCCCAGTGCACGAATTCATACACCTTGACAGGAACTGTGGGCCGCAAGGCTGCGGTGGGCACAGGGGCGGGTCTCGGCCCATCCTCCACGCCCCCGCCTGGCCCCTCCTGTTGCAGCCCAGGTTCCCACTCCCACCACCGCCACTCCCACGCGCTCATGGCGCCAGCCCTGCTCACACCCCTGTTGGCACAAAGTAATTGTGGCCAGCGCCATCAGGGGGTGCAAGTGGCAGCTGCTGCCCCGATCACCCCTCAGGAGTAGGGAGAGGTGGAGAAGCTCTCAGGGGCTATTGGGACCGGCCTGGGGCGTTGGCAGTGGGTGAGAGCGGCGGCTCTGGCACCGGCTGCCAGTGTGAGTGAGGCCGGCACCAGCAGTGGGTGCAAGCAGGGCTGTTGCTGGTAGTGGGTACGAAAGGTGGCTGTCGGCCCTGATCACCCTTCAGGAGCAGGAGGAGGTGGAGAAGCCCTGAGGGGTGATTGAACCCGGCAGCCGCCA